TCAGAAGGGTGCCAGGCAGGGTGGCTCATGTCTGCAACCCAAGCTACCCTGGAAGCTGAAATAGGAAAACGCCAAAGGATCGATGGGCAAAGATCCCATCTCCAAAATGTAACCAGAGCAAAATGGACTGGAGGTGTGGCTCAATCTTGCCTGATTTGCAAGCACAAAGCTCTTAGTTCAAATTCCAGTCCCACCAAACAAAAAAAAGGTCATGAGGGCCATGTCCTAATGAAGGATTAATGGTGTTATCACGGGACTGGGTTCATTCTCTCAAGAGTGGTTTTGTTATAAAATGAGTTCAGCCTCTCTTGTTCTCTCACTTCCTTGTCCTTCCTCCTCCTACCAAGGAGTGGTGTAGCATGGAGACCCTGCCAGATGCAAGCCCTTGATCTTCCACTTCTTCAGTCTCCAAGATTGTGAGTAATAAATTTCTCTTCTTTGGAAATTACCCACTCTGTGCTATTCTGTTATTGCAACACAGAACAGCAGAAGACTGCTGGTAGAGTGACTCAAGATTGAGGCCCTGAGTTCAAACTCCAGTACCACCAAACAACAACAGCAAACAAACAAAAAAAAAACAGGTGAAGAGTGTGGCAGACCAGGATGGGGGTGGAAAAGGTTCTGTCATTTCCAACCTGCATCTTCTACCGCTATGTTCAATGGCAGCTTCACCTCCCACCGTCATATCCCAATCCCAATCAGTAGCAAGGAAGCAGCCTCCTTCCTTCCAAGAGCACCCTTAGAAGTCTCATTCAAGGCTGCTGCTCAAGTCTCTTTGGCCAAACTGAGTCATGTGGCAAAGGAAGCTAGGAAATGCAATCTTACACTCAGTTAAAATTGAGGGTATTTACTAGAAGAGGGAGAAAGGGAGAAAGCTCACCCCTCTGACCACCCCACAGAAAGAAGACATTTTCCACCCCCTGCAAGGGAGGCAAGTCAGTTCCATCCGGGTGTAGGACCTGGGATCGCTGAGGTCCCCCACTCTGATGGCCTATAAGGTAACAGGCAGGTAACCTGCCCTTCACACTCCTTAGACAGCACTGCAGGAGGAAAAGGGTAAAGCCAACCAAAGCCTCCTGTCCAAATAGAAAAGACTGGTACAACACCCAGTGGTGTCAGAATCTTAGCAGCCACTAAGTCCAGCTGGATGCATCTGTCTGCTTCTGGGCATGCCCGCTGGGAGGCTCTCCCTTTCTGCTCCCCCATGTGAGCAGCTTTGCTCCCAGGGAGGTTGTTCCTTATCCAATATCCACTGTGACTCAGGGGCACATGGCCTTCTCACAGACCTTACTGTTTTCCCAGCCCTCTTCTGGCTGGTGTAGATTGGGATGAAGGATAATTGGAGAGGAGGGTCAAGTCAGGCCTTGCTGATCAGGTTTTTGGCTTCTTTGCCAATACCACACCCTTGAAATCTTAGAAGACTTCTGGTTAGTTCCACGTTGAGTAGACACAGCCAAAGGTCTCATGTACATGTAAACTTGTCTGATGGAATTCTCTGGGCTTGGTATACTTTTCTCCACTGGAAAACTGGTGCCAAGTCTCTTGAGGCTCTCAGAGAAAACAGGTCTGGCTGCAAAGGGAACTCCCGGCTTCTTCTTCTCCTCTTCCTCTTTCCCCTCCCCCTCTTCCTGTTCCTCTTTTCCTTTTTCTTTTTGCAGTGCTGGGCATGGAACCCGGGCCTCACATACACGCACAAGTGCTTTGCCACTGACTTGTGTCCCCAGCCCAGAAACCCCTTATTCTGCTGTCTGCCCACAGCCTCTCCTACTGTCTGCTGGACAGCATGTGTGTGGGCAAGGGTTGGGCAGAGCCTTTGCTAAAACTTCTTCCAAACCACCGAGCTAGCCTGAGTGCCTCCCTTTTGTAGGACTTTGCAGCCAACAGACACACCAGCGCTTTGAGTGTTTCCAACTGGTTTCTGTGACTTCCAGGCTCTGTGGGCCATTCCCAAAGACATGTGAGGCAGTGCACCTCAACGGCCAGCATTAACTCCCCTTCCACCCTTTATTCCTGAGTCACCTGCACAGAACAAGCTCAGCTCACACCACTGCCTTCCCCTGCAATGATCCAGTCTTCACATTCCTCCCTGCAGGGCCTCCTCTTCCAGGAAGTCTTCCGGGACTGTATCCCACACACTACACTGATCTCTCCATAGCATGTGTCCTGTGTGTCCATTGCAGTTCAGGGCCAGGCTGCCACGTATACAACTGTTTCACATACTAATATCTTTCAGCTCCAGCTTGACCATGGTTCCCTGGACAGACAAAATATTTTGGCTGGACATGATGAAAAGTCTGTTTTGCGGTCAGAAAGACCTGAATAAAGTTTATGCTCAGTTGTGCGCTTGCCAAATGGCCTTGGAAAGTATTGGTTGTTTTCTCTGAGGAAGTTTCCATGCATATAAGAAGAGGATGAAAACATTGTGGGACTGGACTGGAGGTGTGGCTCAAGTGGTAAAATGCCTGCCTAATAAGTGTGAGGCCCTGAGTTCAAACCCTCGTTCCTCAAAAACAAGCAACACAAAACATTCTGTCACAGAGATGGCAAGTTGCCCCTCTTCTTCCCTTAGTAATAAAATCATAGGAATTTTTTTCCTTTTTTTTGGTGTGGCTGGGGTTTGAGGACTCAGGGCTTTGTGCTCACAAAGCAGGGGCTCTACCACTTGAGTGATACCTCTAGTTCATTTTGCTCTGATTATTTTGGAGATGAGGTCTCACAAACTATTTGCCTAGGCTGACCTCAAACTGTGATCCTCCTGATCTCAGCCTCCCAAGTAGCTAGGATTACAGGTGTAAGCCACCAGCCCCTGGCTTAGAATCATGTGAATTTTAACTAAAATGACTGCCTGTAAGACTGAGGTTCCTAGATGGGTGTGGTAGCTCATGTCAGTAATCCCAGATGCATGGAAGGCTAAGATTCGGAGGATCAAGGTTTGAGGCCAGCCTGGCCAAAATGCATGAGCCCATATCTGAAAAATAGCCAAAGCAAAAAAAGGCAGGGGAATGGCTCCAGTGGTGGAGCACCTGCCTAGCAAGCAAGGGGCCCTGAGTTCAAACCCCAGTGCCACCAACTCTACCTGAAACAAATACGGCCTGTGACAATTTGCCAATGCAATGTGAGCAACTTCCAGGTCAGGCTTTAGAAGAAAGAGGCATGAGCTGCCCTTTCCTTTTTTCTCTTCTTTGGCCTGAAATGCTGATATGATGGCATAAGCTACAGCAGCCACCTTATACCCAAGAGAGAAGACACTTTGGAGGGTTTCAGAATCACCTCATCTTTAGACTATCTACAGACTATTATAAAAGAGAAAAAGAAACTTTCTTGTTTAAGGAACTCGTGTGTGTGTGTGTTGGTACTGGGGTTTGAACTCATGGTCTCCCACTTCCTAGGTGTGCTCTCTACCACTTTAGCCACTTCACCAGTCTTTTTTTTGTGTTAGATACTTTCGAGAGATAGTGTCTCACTTTTTTCTTTCTTTCTTTCTTTCTTTTTTTTTTCTCCAACTGGCTTCAAACCATGATCCTCCTGATCTCTGCCTCCCAAGCAGCTAGTATTTCAGGTATGAGCCACCAGCACCCGGCTGATGAAGGAATTCTTAACATGTATTTATTACAGCAACCAACAATGTTTTCTGCTAATGCAGAATTTGACATTTGGAAGTGGTGCTGATCAAAAGCACCACCTTAACAAGTACTAAATGAGTGGTTTAACAAACCTAAATAAGTGGTTTAGACATTGAACGGTAGGTAGCAAGGAAAATATTGCAGCTGTGGACCATTGCTGTTTCAGCAAAATACAGGGGTGTGCTGTCTGTGATCCCTTGAAGGTAGACTGCATGCTGATGGTCTTATCACCATTTGAGGTGTCCCCATTAGCTGTGCTTTGGAAGTTCCACTTTCTGGGACTACATACAAGCTATCGGGATCCTGTGTGATCCAAGACACACAGGAAAAGGCAGAGTTTCCCTGCTCTGTCCTCCACCCTTCCTGTATGCAGTGCAGGTGCTTTTCAGGAGAAAGGGAAGTGCGTTCCATAATTTCAGCAAGAAATCCAGTCATCCTGTTCCTGAGAGTCCACTGTAGGGCTGGGATGGAAGAGGCCGGGGAGAAGATGAAGGGAGGGCAGTGAGCTGGATATGCACTCTCCATTTGGACACTGACTCAAGCCCCAGGAATGCTCAGGAAGGGAGTGCAGCAGCCACCAGAGCCAGGCTGGGATCCGCTAGCATGGAGAATGCAGGGACGGCACACACAAGAGTAACGGGGGCTGAGGCTCCTGCAGCTCCAGCCATCGCCCAGCCAGGGGTAGGAACAGGTGTCCCTCCAGATTCCTCAAGCCCATATCACAACTTTGAGGGGATTTGCGCACCTCTCATCTGCCAGAGCCTCCCACTCCATCTCCCCCACTTGAGAGAGGAACAGGCTCCTGGGACTCAGATGGAGATATCTGAGTATGATATACTACTGGCTGCTCCCTGGGGACCACCCACAAACCCCTCACTTTATCCCCAGCTTCTGACCTGGGCACCTTGTCCTTGCCACCCAGTACTGAAGTTTGCACAGGGAAGGAAATTGAGGTCCATCGCCTCCACTTCTGCTTTGGCGCCAAAGACCGGCTGTAGCTCTCAGACCCGGACTTCTCCCGGTGTCCTTGTCCCCACAAGGTCCCAAGCCACCTCCCCCACAGCAGGGTCCTTCTAGCTTGTCCTGAGACACCCTGCAGGCAGCCGGGGACCAGGCACCAGGATTCCCAGATGCTCCTTTTCTCTCCCCAGTCACCCCTAGGCTGCGGCACTGGAGCAGCTGCACGGGCACCTCTCCCTCCCTGCGGCCTGACACCCAGCGACAGCGAATCCGATCCCGGCGGGCCAGGCGCCAGGGCCGGCCCAGAATAGTGCTGGCCTGTCGCGCACTCGCTCGCTGGTTGGGCTGGCCCAAGCTGGAACACGCGGTGCGCGGGGTATGGGGGTCCCAAGGGGCCTGCCGGGGGCAGCTGGGCCCCAGGATCCCCAGCAGGCGTGTGAATGCGTGTGTGTCTGCTGATGTCTGTTTGGTCTGCGTTTTCTCTGTGTACATGAGCCTGTGTATATGCGTGTGTGTGTTTGAGGGTGGGTTTACGCTGTGGGTATATGGCTGTGGGTGTCTGCGTGTCTGTGTGTGTGCGCTCGCACCCAGGGACGATCTGGGGTTTGGGGATGGAAGCATTTTCTCAGCCCTTCAGATGTTCCTCTCCCCATAGACCCCGTCCTGGAGCAGTTTTGGGGGGCCTGAGCATCAAGGTAAGTAGACTGCTCCTCCCTCTGGACCTAGCCTCTTCTCTCATAGTGCCTTTGTCCCCCACCTTTCTGGGACCCCAATCCCTACTCCCTTGCCTGGTTTTTGTCAGGAGAGGTCCTTTCTCTTCCCTCTCCCTCACTCCTTCTCCCTCCTTTTCCCCAGTGTGTGACCCTCACCTCCCTTTCCTCTTTACTGAAGACATGGACGCCAGTTCTGACTTTATTACTTCCTAGCTGTGTGATTTGTGGCAAATTGCCTAACCTCTCTGAGTTTCTGGTCCCTCACTAGAAGAATAGGGATGATAATAATGCATCCTTTATATGACTGTTATGTATATGAAATGAGAAATATGTTGGAGGAAAAGCTCTTTGAAGTTTGCAAATATTATAATTCATAGCATTGTAATTGCTTCTGTCACACTACTCCTTATTAACTGAACAGCCTCCCCCCTACTCCCTTCCAGAGATGAACTTCCTACAGCAAGGAGATAGTGCCTCGTGGCCATCACTGACCAGGACCACCAGCTCAGAAAGACTCTGTGGGGAACAAGGGGCCAATGCATCCAGGTGGATGAGGCAGAAGACTGTGGAGGAAGGGGAGCCTCCAGGTTTGGGGGAAGGTGAAGCCAAGGCCAGTTCTGGGGAGGTGGGAGTAGGGCAGTGGGAAATCCCACACCCCAGGTTGGGAGACTGCCTTGGAGCCCCACTCCGTAGCACAAGTCAGGCCAAACCCTCATCTTGTAGCCTCAGTCTCCTCACATGGCGGGGAGCAGCTGTACTGCAGAACCAGGGGCCCAGTGTGGCCAACTCAGACAGATGGGCCAGACCACTGTCTGCTGTGACTCTGAAGTTTGACTCCTCCTCTACAAATGAGGCCAGAGCACCCAGGCTCCCCAACGCTGCCGTGCGAGAAAGTGCTTTGGAAGATGGAGTCACTTTCTTCTCTCCTCCACCCCTCCACAGGTGCCCAGTCCAGGCCAGCTGCTGAGTCTATCAGGCTGGAGACCACATTCCCCAAGGCCACGCCCTTGGCCCAAGCTGCTCCCTTGGCTATGGAAGAGACCCCACCCAAAGGGTGGGACCTCCTTCTGCCTGACTGTGCAGCCTCAGCTGTGGGCTCCAGCACAGGTGATCTGGAGCTGGCTGTAGAGTTCCCAGCCAGGGAAGCCTGGGACTGTGAGCTGGAAGGTCTTGAGGAGGGCAGGCCTGCTCCGTCCCCATCCCCACAGGCCCCACTACTCAGCCTGGGCTGGGATGATGAGCTGCAGAAGCCTGGGGCCCAGGTCTACATGCACTTCATGCAGGAGCACACCTGCTACGATGCCATGGCAACCAGCTCCAAGCTAGTCATCTTTGACACCATGCTGGAGGTGAGGCCCCTGCTCTGCCCCACCTGAGCTCAGCCTTCATTCCTATGGCTCTGCAGCCACCACTCATTCCCTCCAAGATGTGTCTTGTCCCACTGCAAGTCCCCTTCAAGGAGACCAGTGGGGAGAGGGAGGGACTCTGATCTTTTTTGAGCATCCCCTTAGTCACTCACAGCTCTGCAAAACCTTGGGTTGGTCACTTTGCCTCCATCACCTCTGAAATGGAGATCAGAAAGCTTGCTCACCTGTGCTTCAGAAGAGTTTGGGACAGAGTGCTAAGTGTAAGACATTGCTTAGGAAAAAGAGTAGGGTGCTCTTGATAACAGAAGAATAGTGTGTGCTCTGGTACCCGCTCTTCCATTAGGCGAAGCTACCAAATGTCTCTGGTTCTATTCTTTTTGGTTGGTTTGCTTGTTCATTCGTTTGTTTGAGATGGGGTCTCATTAGGTAGCTCAGATTTGCCTTGAACTCACTGTGTAGCTTGGGTTATCCTTGAACTTGCTGTCCTCTTGCCTCCACCTCCCAAGTCCTGGGGTAACCAGCGTGCAACGGCACAACAGCATACAACCCAGCTCTCCGGCTCGATTCTTACCATTATAGCGGAGCAGATGGTTATTAAAGCCAAAAGCATGGTGTATGTGTCACCCTTCATATGTGACAGATACACTTATTTCAATAACTTTGTATTTAATGTGCGTTAGAAAAATACAGCCAGACTGGATAAATAGTATTGCTGAGGATGAGGCTCATAAGGCAATATAAAATTTATTTAGATTAAACCTAAAGTCCACGTAAAAAATTTATTTAGAGGAAAAAAAAAAACCTATGTAGCTAGAGAAATCCTATGAAAATAATTACACTGCTAGTATTTGGATTAGCAAAACTTAAGCGGTGTCTGTACATACTTGACCTCCAAGTGGAAACACTGAGAGTGTCTCATGCCCTGGTGTGGCTGAAGGTCCCTCAGGCCTCTAGTCACAAGCAAATGTGCCCAACAGAGCTCCTGTCTAGTGTATGTCATCATGAGGGAAAGACAGGCAGAATCGTGTGGAGGACCTGTGAGAAGATCGCATGGAAGGACCCTGATGGGGACAGCAGAAGGAACAGAGGGGCAGATGAGGATCACTGAGGACAGTGATAGGAGGATGAGGGCCTCTTGAGATTCACCCACCCCCTCCCCCGTTCTTTTCTGCCCCTTAGATTAAGAAAGCCTTCTTTGCCCTGGTGGCCAATGGTGTGCGGGCAGCCCCTCTGTGGGACAGCAAGAAACAGAGATTTGTGGGTGAGACTGGGAGATGGTGGCGTGATGGGAATGACAAGGGGGAACCTCAGACTGTGCAAGGACACTGTCGGGGGGGCGGGTCCCTTAACCTGCCTTGCACAAAAGTCATAGGCTGACCTTCTCCCCTCTGCCTTCTTCTGCCCCCCAGGGATGCTGACTATCACAGACTTCATCCTGGTGCTGCACCGTTACTACAGGTCCCCCCTGGTGAGTCCTGGGGTGCCCAGGTCGGCTGGGGCACAGGGGAGTCTTAAGGGAGCCTGGTGCCGGCAGTGCCCTCATCTGACTGCCAGAGTTCTGCAATGCCTCTAGGTCCAGATCTATGAAATTGAAGAACATAAGATTGAGACCTGGAGGGGTAAGTGGGGAGTGGGGCTGTGGGGTTGAGTGTGGGGCCTAGGGTCTGAGGGAGAGGGTGGGCAGTGGGAATTTCCTGGCGGGCACAAGGCAATAGGGAGCCTCGAGTACTGTGGAAGGAAAGCAGGGTGAGGCCGGTGGCAGCAATCTTGGCCTGACACTGGCTTTTCCTGCAGAAATCTACCTTCAAGGCTGCTTCAAGCCTCTGGTCTCCATCTCTCCCAATGACAGGTAAGCATCACCTATCCACCTGAGTCCCTTGTGCCGTGCCCTTCTTCTGTCCCACTCAGCCCTGAACTCACTCCTCATCCTAGGAAGCAGACAGATAAGGAGACCTTGGTGCTCTGTCCTAGGAGGCAGGGATGAAGGGTGTCTCCCCAACACCTCTCCCAGGCTCACTGCTCCTACCTCCACAGCCTGTTCGAAGCTGTCTATGCCCTCATCAAGAACCGGATCCATCGCCTGCCAGTCCTGGACCCGGTCTCAGGCACAGTGCTCTATATCCTTACACACAAGCGGCTGCTGAAGTTCCTGCATATCTTTGTGAGCCCAGGCCTAGCGGGAAGAAGGGGACATGGAGATGGCCAAAGAGGCTAAGTCTTCCAGCCTAGGGATGGAGGTCGGGGGGGGGAGGGGGGGCAAGATCTGGGAGCCCTCTGGGGGTTGCTTAACCTTGATCATCACCCTGTCCCCACCCCATCAGGGTGCTCTTCTGCCCAGGCCCTCCTTCCTCTACCGCACTATCCAAGATTTAGGCATTGGCACATTCCGAGATTTGGCTGTGGTGCTGGAGACGGCACCTGTCCTGACTGCACTGGACATCTTTGTGGACCGGCGTGTGTCTGCGCTGCCTGTGCTCAATGAATCTGGTACCTGCACCCAGGGCAAGAGGCCTGGTTGGGAGAACATGGGGGAGGGGTGCAGAAGCCTATGGGGCAACAGATTAGGAGACCAGGGTGGACTAGGGTTAGAAGCCTCTGCCTGCTTTGATGCTTGGGCCATTTACTTAGTCTCTCTGTGCCTCAGTGTCCTCTTCTGTGAAACGGGAATCTTAATGACATCCATCTTTCTGACTTCACCGGAGGATTTGTAAGATCATGTGCAATCAAATAAGCATAGTGAGAGGAGACAGCAGGATCTCAGATCTTTTGTTTTTGTTTTTATTCATCCCCAAATGGGTCATGGGATCTTGGACTCCAGGCCAGATCTCAATTTTCTGTCCTGGAAAGGGTCAGCAAGACATAAAGAATATTTCTTTGGTTAGATTATGGCTATAAACTATTTCAAAGAGAGCCTGGAGGTATAGCTCACTGGTAGAGCACTTGCCTAGCGTGCACAAGGCCCTGAGTTCAATCCCTAGCACTGAAAAAAATGTAAAGTTCTATTCATTATAATGAAGCTAGATGTCATGAATACCTTTAGTTTATATTTAATTATGAAAATTTTCAAATGAGTAAAAATGGTGGAAAAAAATTTGTAATGAACCCAATATATCCATTGTCTGGATTAACAACCATTAACATATTGCCATATTCAGTTTATCTCTTTTTTTTTTTTTGTGCTCCTTATTCTCATTTCCCCAAAGAATAACTTATTTTAAAGCTAATTTGCTCAAACCAGGATTCAATTTAAGTCCACATTTTCCATTTCTGTCTCTTGTACCTTAAGTCTGTTCAGTATAAACCTGTTACATCATGACACGGGTCAGTTGAAAACCCTGGATCAGTTGTTCTGTAGAACCTCCCACCTCTAGATTTTTCTGTTCACTCCCTCTCTTTCTGTTTCCTGTGAACCAGAAATGAGATCTAGACTTGATGAGCTGAGACTACATTTGAGTATAGAGTATTTTATAAGTAGTGTCATGTTCTCATATTACATCTCATCAGGAGACCCAAGGCCAGCTGTCCCACTCTCTGTCATGCTAAGTTGATCCTTGATTTAGGTAAGGGCAGCCTAATGTCCCATTACAAAACCAGCAGCCTGGGGGAATTTCCAGGAGCTCATTCAAAAGCCTGCCTCAGGCCCCTGTGCAGCACCCTAATTCTAACATGGGTTTCTGCCCTCTCTTTTTCCTCCTGCCTCCTGCAGGTCAGGTCGTGGGCCTCTACTCCCGCTTTGATGTGATTGTGAGTGTCTGTGGGGATGGGGTGTGCAGGGAGGCTGGGCTGTGAGGACTACGGGGAGTTTTGTGGACACACTTTACAAGTGTGTGGGGATGCTATCTGTGGGGCTGCAGCCTGGGCGACCAGGTGACTCAGAGCTCTTCCTCTCTCCCTGCCCTAGCACCTGGCTGCCCAGCAAACCTACAACCACCTAGACATGAGTGTGGGAGAAGCTTTGCGGCAGAGGACACTGTGTCTGGAGGGAGTCCTCTCCTGCCAGCCCCACGAGAGCTTGGGGGACGTCATTGACAGGATTGCACGGGAGCAGGTATATGGTGCCCCTCCGGGCATGCCCCCAACACAGGTGGCCTGGTTCTTCCATGAACAGCTCCAGCCATCCCTGTCCATGGGGCACCTGACCTGTCCTCACATTTCATGACCAACTTTTGGCATCCACACTGGTATGCACCTGGTCCTGTCCATGATGCACTCATGCCAAGGGCCACAGCCAGCTGAGTGGTCAAAGCCATGACCAACTGGGTCATGCTCCCCCAGCTATGTCAAAATTTCTCCTGCTTCATGAGGTAGGCCTCTTTAGCTGAAGTAACCTGAGGCTCTGCCCCTCATTGAACATTGTGGGCCCACAGGTGCACCGGCTGGTACTAGTGGATGAGACCCAGCATCTCCTGGGCGTGGTTTCCCTCTCTGACATCCTTCAGGCGCTGGTGCTCAGCCCTGCCGGCATTGATGCCCTCAGTGCCTGAGAACACCCAAGTCCTCACTCCCAGGCCACCTTCCACACCCAGAAGCCAATGAAGGGGGCTGGGGGACTCCGCCTTCATCTTCTCCCACCCTCATTCACTGGTTCAGCTCTGATTCAGGTAGGCTCCACCCTTGGCCATTGGAGCAGCCCCTCTGTCTTTCTGGGCCCCCAGAACTCAGATTAGGGTACCCTGCAGATGGCAGTGGCCTCACTCACAGCTGAGAAGTCCCATAAAAACGGAAAGTATGAGGCCATCAATTTGACCCATTTCCAGTTGAGGTCATGGAGGCCCTCCTAGGTGGAGTGGACTGATGCTGGGAGGATTTAAAGGTTATCGCGCCATTCAGTTCCCAGCTGCTGGGAACTGCGTTGGAAGGAAGAAGGCTAATAAGTCTTTGTGGAATGACATCTCCATCCTCAGAACCAAGAGTTTAAGGCAGGAGCTTCTACCTACTTATTGCTCATCTCAGTAAATTTGACATGATGGCAGATTCCTGGTAGCATGTTTGATGAGGTTTTGCCAAAGGATAGGGCACAAATTCTACCCAGTTGGCAGTGGACGGCACTCCCCTGCACCCCCGCCCCCCACCCTGTTTGGTCACTGTCTTCCCTTCTCTTTTTCTCACAGGCTTCTCCAGTCCTTCCGAATTGTCCTTGCCCTGCATATATTCCCAAGGCTCCTTGGCAAGCCCGGTGCATCAGGATGATGAAATTAAAACAGCTGAGTCAAGCCTGCAGGTCTTTAACCACAGGCACTGGGAGTAACCAGGGCCGTCTGTGCTCCATGCGCACTTAGATTCCTTTCCCCCATTTGGGTCAGGATTGGCCCCAAGGGGGCAGGGAGCACACAGCCCATGGATTTAGTCAGGAGCTCTGGATTCCTCGGCTTCTGGACCATGGCAGGCTCATGCCTCAAACTTTTGGGAACTCCAGCTGTTCTTTTCCCTGTGGAAATCATGCTAGTGGTTCCCCACAACTTTGCCACTGCCTTTGGACTCTCCTGGCATTGTCATTTAAGAGCTGCTGGGGTTCACCATGGAGCAGCACTTAATTCTAGAGCTGCCTGTTGGAGTGAAGTCTGTCCTCCATTGTTGTCCAGAAAACAGCTCTCACCAGTGAATAGTGTTCTCAGTCCCCAGGGATGGGTGGCCTTGTATTCAGATCCTTGAGAATGAACAATTGAAAAACCAAAAAGAAAAAGCCATGAACTTGGATTTTATAGGTTTCGCTCGAAATGCTACAATCACTGAACCTGAACTTGTGACAAGATCCCTGATTCTTTCTGAATTCAAAGACTCAAAGGAAAGTCTGCAATTGACAAAAGCTGCAAGTGGCATTTGTTTTGTGCATAGAATGTTATTCCACTGACTTTTAAAACTCTTTTATTTATAGCAAAACCATAAAAGAAGATATTTATTTAATTAATTAATTATATAGTAGGTAAAACCCAGTCTACAGATTCTTATCTGGAAGAAACATTTTTGTTTGCAATACTAAATGTAACTTCTATCATGAACCCCACTTCACCAGGTGGTAGAACACAATCTCAGTCAATTTGGGGTCTCTTCCTCACCTTTTCCTGGGGCTGTTTGGTGAGTAGGGGAAGATTTTTACTAGTACAAGGCTTTGTCCCTTGACTCCACATCTATCCATTGCCAAAACAAATGGTTGTCAGTTGGTTGGCCATTAGTGTGCACAGTCACTGTCATGTGCTTCTCCATTCAAAAAGTCTTTTCAGACCTGCCTGCATTTTGGCATGCCTGTATTCCAGCTCCTGGGCTTGCACCCCTCTGGGCTTCCGGAACCTCAGTGAGGCTGTTTCAGGACCATCTGCTGACATACACAGCCAGCGGCCTGTCCTCCTCTGTATCTCACTATTTTCCCATACTCTATCCAGGAACAGGGGGCCTAGGGTTTTTCTTGGGGACCCAAGAAGTGTGTATAGTCTCTTCATTCCCCAACCCACCCAGCCCATGGAATCTTTGCCAGTGGGGTGAGGGAGCTTTTATTTTCTGACCCATCATATATTCTTCCAAATCCACTATATGTCCTGAGTTCTTGTCACCCACACTGGGGATCAGGCTTTTAAAATTCCAAAGCCAATGCTCAGTTTGTACTGCCACCCTCCCCTCTGGCGATGGCCACTGCAGGCCCAGCTGTCCAGGAAGGATAGGTTAATCTTTCTAAATGCGATCCCACCCCTCAGACCTCCCAGAGCTACAGAGCAGAGGCACTTGTTCCTGATCAGGCAGTGAAGGAAGGTACTTCCTCACAAGACACTTTGCCAAAACCCAAGAGTCAGTGTTAGCTCTGCCCAGTCCTACCCAGGGGCTCAGGCTCAAGTGGGAAGATGGGATGGGGGTGACCACTGGGTCTGGGCCAAGGAAGGAACTCTCTAGTGACAATATCCTTGAGGAGCCTAGGGCAGGCTGCCTCCAGTTCTGGCTGGCTCTGGGAAAGTGTAAATCAGTCCCTTGATGCTGTGCCTCCGGGACTTTCAGCAGTAACTGTAAGGCTAAGGAAGGTGCTTGGTCCCTCTGACTCCCCTTGCACCTTCCTAAGAGCACTCCACCTGCCTGGACCCACTGTCCTGAGACCCAAAAGATCTCCCCCTTTGTCCTTCTGTGAGGGCCCATCCCACCTCACCATCTCAGACCTCTCCTCTCAGCCCTTGGCTCCCGGCCCAGCCTTGCAACCCTCCTGGCTGCCAGAAAAGAGGTAGCAAGTTGCCATGGGGGCTGCAACTGCTTCTACCCTGGTTTAGAATAAAAGAAATGTCCTGGGCTGGTGGAGTGGCTCCAGTGGTACAGCACCTACCTAGCAAGCATGACGCCCTGAGTTCAAGTCCCAGAAAAGGAAAAAATAAAAGCTTCACATGTGCAACCTACGTTCTGTCCCCTCGTTCTGCCTATGAACCCAGGGCTGGGCTGGCTTAACTGGCAATGTTGCCTCCCTGCTGCCCCTGTTCCCTCTTCTGACCTTCAAAGTCTCTCTGACTTGCTGTGGCCTCCTTTGTTTTCCTTTCTCTCTTCTCACAACCCTCTCAGTGGTTCTCAACCCTGGATGTGCCTTGGGATTACCAAGGCAAAAAGTTCACAAGACCCCATCTCAAGCAATAAAAAGCTGGTCCCAGTGGTGCACACCTGTTATCCCAACTACTCAGAAAGCGTAAGTAGGAGGATTGCAGTCCAGGTAACCCCAAAGGATAAAAAAGAGAGAACCTATTCAAAAAATAAAAGCAAAAATGACTGAGGGAGTGGCTCAAGTGGTAGAACGCCTGCCTAGTAAGCACAAAGCCCTGAGTTCAAACCCTAGTTCTGCAAAAAAAAAAAAAAAATCAGTTATAGAATTTCAGTTATAGAGCTATAATTTCAATTAACATAATGTCCTTCAGGTTCTTTGATGTCATCCGAGTGACAGGATTTCCTTCTATTTTAAAGCCTGACTGGAATCCCATTGTGCATGATTATTGCATTTTCTTTATTTTTCCTTGGATGGACATTTAGCTTATTCCGTCCTTAGCTATTGTGACTAGCGCTGACTTCATTTTCTTTGACCATGCACCCAGTATATGCTCTGGAATTGCTAGATCAAATGATAGTCCTTTCAGATTTTTTGAGGAACTTCACACTGTTTTCCATTATGGCTTTATCTTCATGGATTTTATTTGAGATTAGCCTTTATAAGTTCATCAACTGTACTGTGGACCATGAACATTGACATTCTCTTGCTCAGCTGCTGTGAAGCCCCAGTCCTAAATCACATCACACAGACTTGTCCCCCTACCTTTCCAGGACCCCCAAGCACCAGCGTGGAGGGCTTCCAGTGGCTTCTACAGCTTGGGCCTGCTGGTTTGAAGGAGCAGTACACTGTGGGAGGCAGAAGTCTTCTCTGGTTGACATTGTGACCAAGATCTTGGCACCCTCTGAGCCCAGCCCCTGTCCTCTGCATTTGTGAAGAGCTCTTAGCAGGTGAACCCCTGTCCAGGTGGGGTCAAAGCCATGACCTTGTAATCAAGAACTCCTCCCAGTCTCCTAGGTTCCTCTTCTCAATGTGAAAAGTTCTGTGCCGTTCCTCCCTATTGTCCTCCCTTCCTGCTGTTCCTGTCTTTATTTTACACCTCCTAGGAGCCACTGAGACTGAGATCCAAAGTGAAAGGAGCTGGATTTGTGCCCTCCAGGGGGTTCACAGCTGGCCAGAGAGCCAGGTCCCCAACAAAAGTGGACATACTCTATAAGTGGGTGGGTGGGTGGGGCACAAGAAAGGCACAGAGGCAGGGGTGTCAGGGAGGCCAGGACATTTGAACTGAGTACCTAGGAGAGCAAGTTCTTAAGACAACATGACAGTTGGTCAGGAAGGTGCTGTTCCCAGGGACAGAACAGTAAGTACAAAGTTCTGAGACAGAAAGGAGCTTAATGTGCTTGGAGAGATGCAGGTGAGTCAGGCTCAGCTATGGAAAGGGTGAACCAGATGGTGCCAAAGCACAAGTGTTATAAGCCACAGGAAGGACTTGGACTTGGCCTGAGGACTGGGGCGAGGGAGGAGGGGTGGAACTGGGGGGACACGGAAGAATTTTGAATCAGAGCAACGACAGGACTTTTAAAATGGATTTGATCCTAATCCCACAGTTGCACGAGAAAGTTAATTGTTTTCTGTGACTCAGCAGAATTAATTTTATACCCAGGCTGGAACTCACCGAGAGAGACTGGAAAGCTAAAAACTGTAATGCCCACTTCTCGACTCTCCTTCTTATGATTGTGGCCAGCAGGCTGGACCAGCTACTCAAGCCTGTCGGTGCCTGCTAGAGGTCTCTGAGGCCAATAAAGCTCTTCAAACAAATTTTGTGGCAGCCCATTGCCTGTCTCTGCACTTTCTCTCAAAAGAGGGTATCTTCTATTCTATTCTAGTCTAGTCCTTATTTTTTATTTATTTATTTTGATGGCCCTGGGATTTGAACTCACCTGCTAGGCAGGTGGTCCTACTGCTTAAATCACTCTGCCAGCACTCTATTCCTTCTTTTGAGATGGCATCTCAATATGACACTCAGAATTGTCTTGAACTCTTGGACTCAAGTGATCCTCCTGTCTCAGCCGCCCACGTAGCTAGGGCTATAGGTTCGTACCACTGTGCCCTGCTGGTGGCTTCTACTATCTACAATTGAAGCAGGACTGTTGCAGTGCCTCCTTCAGTGCCCATTATCAGTGCCACTGCCACCTCAGCATGACCCCAACTTCTGGTTGAGGTATAGGGAAGCACAGGCTCCAAGAAGGGAGGTGGCAGGGTCCCCACCATGATTGCTAGGTGCAGAAGGGTGTTCTCCAACTCCAGAAAAGGATTCATATACCAGGTAATCAAAAAGAACAACAAAAATCCCCAATGATTACTAGGAGTCCTTTTATTTTATATTGTGATAAGGATTTGCCTTTTATCTGAGCAGAGCTGCTCGAATGACAAGTGTGACCAAGCTGAGGGTTCTGTGGGAAGGGCACTGAGTCCCTCCAGCCTGTTGAGTCTGGCAGATCCCTTCTTTCCCTCCTCATCTGAGACAAGAAAGTGTCCAGGGACTACTGTGCCAGGATGGTGCCTGTGGGACAAGCACCAGGAAGGCAGGGGCCCAGCTCAGCACTGTCTCGGCAGGAAACGTAGGCCCACCTTCTTATTGGGAACCAGGACGATGCGGGCCACAGTCTTCAGTTCCCCTGTCTCGGGAGCCAGAACCACCTCATACCGTTGCATCAGCTGTTAGGGAAAGAGCACAGGGATGGCTGGATGGGTGATCTTCATCCACTGTACCCCTCCACAACACTGCCTCTGAACCGCCCTGCCTCTCCTCCCCACAGACTCCCTGACCCACACACCTTCCCACCTGTCCCAGCTCACCCTCGACAGCACCAGCTGCATCTCCAGCTCTGCAATCCTGCGGCCCAGGCAGGACCTGACCCCATAGCCAAAGGGCACAGAGCCAAATGGGTGGTGGATCCTGGAAGCATCCGGCTGGCACTTCCTCAGCCAGCGATGAGGCTGAAAGCTCTCAGGCTCTGAGAAGACACTGGGGTCCCGGGATGTCACATAGTGGCAGAACACAAACTGCGTCTACAGAGGAAGAATACGAGCATAAATCCCTCAGCATGGCACTGCAGGCGCTCCTGGGTACGTGGACTTCTCTAGCCCTACTCACATTCTTGGGGAACAGGAAGCCATTGATGTCAACTTCCTTTTCCATGACGATCCTGGAGTTTGTAGGAACCACAGGGTAGAGGCTACAGGAAAAAGAAAGTCTAGGGTCTGCCTCTAGCTTCAAGGGTGGGCCAGAGTGCTCACTCCCTCTTCCCTACCTTTCCAGTCCCTGGCCCTTCTTTCCTTCTCACTCTTGTTCCTAGACCTAGCCAAGGGCAGCCCAATCCCCACTTCCCATTCCTGTCTCTATTATGTCCCCCCACATAAACCCTATGCTCCCAGGAATGGCATCCTACCGCAGCGTCTCCTTAATGACAGCTTTGAGCAGGGGCATGTGGACAAGGTCCTTGTGCTGGGGTGCCTTCCCTCTGGGCACCACACCCACCACCTCCTCGTGCAAGGCCTCCTGGATCTCCAGGTCCTTTGAAAGGTGGTACAGGGCCCACGTCAGAGTGTTGGATGTCTAGAAGACAGAATAGGAGATGGAGTGAGAGAGATTTCTAGGCTGGAGGCCAGCCAAACAGTGACAGGACATAGGAGTAAGTATTTGCAAAATATGGGAGAAAATTAACTCGCCATAAGTATGGCAAGAAAAGAGATGAGGGAAAATGAAAAAAGAAAAGAGGTGAGGATTCATGAGGACCTCCATGCTAAACATGAGTCCACAGTGGGTCAAGGACCAATGCAATGGAGAACTGTACTTTAACAACAGAGGAGACTGTAACAAAGAGAAACCCTACAAGACAAAAGGGCTGGAAATGGCTCCCATACAGACAGAAGGTGTTCACAGACAAACTTCCAACTCTCCACTCAAATTGCAGCGAGAGAGTTGAATAGATGTAAGAGGAAATTTCCCAGCTGTCAGAGGAAGCAAGGGGGCCCAAGAGGTAATAGGATTCCCCTTAACAGCCCTGCTCCCCTCAGCTGGGCTAAACAACCACCCCTGGTACAGAAAGAGAAGCTGTGACAAGAGGTGAAGGTCAGGATCGGGTTGAGGATAATGGTGAATTGGGTCAAGACAGGAGTTAGGAGCCCTTGGTCTCCTCACCAGCCCCCTTCACTCACAGTGTCCACTCCAGCCAGGAGCAGCTCAGGTAGGCTGCCTGTGGCCTCATGAGGACTGAGCAGTTGGTTGGTCAGCAGGAAATGTAGGTAGCCAGACACCTGGACCCCATCTGGCCCAGCTTCCTGTAGTTGGGCTTCCACCTCCTTGAGTTTCTGATCAATCAGCTTTTTCCCTGAAGGAGCAACAGAGAAGGGAGGTGGTGAGGTCAAGGCACTCTGAGAGCTGGTGGCAGGAGGGAGAAGGTCCTCCCCTGACCTCAGTCGGAACTCCTCACCAAAAGAGAAGATGGCGTTCCAGCCATCCAGGTATCGCCTCCAGAAGGGCAGCAGGGGACGGGTCCACTTGGGAAGGAAGGTGGCATAGAGTGAGTTCTGGAACATGAGCCCAACGAGCTGATGAAGGTTGCTGTGTCCTCAGGGATGGAGGGTTCTAGGCAGCCAATCCGTTTCTCAAACAGGATGTAGCAAATAACTGGAAAGTGCAGAGGCCGTCACAGGCAGCAGAACCAGAGGACAGAATTCAGGGACCTTGAGGAGCTAGAGCATGACCTACCCCTGATCCTTCCCCTCCCCCAAGTCTCTCTCCCAACAAGAGTACCTTCCAGTGCAAAGTGGTAGAAGAGGTGAGCCATGTCAGGCACCTGGTCCCCAGAAGCACTCTCTGCCTGCACCTGGTCCAGTCGAACCATAAAGTCATCAATTACTTCATTTATGGCATCTGTGTAGAGCACAGCGTCAGCTGGCTTCACCAACCTCCGGCTTAGAACCTGGCGCAGCTGGTACCAGTGATGTCCTTCCCTGCGGAGGAGCAGCACAACCGTGAGCCTCTGGCAGGGTCTGGTTAAATGACAGAATCTAAGAACCGCAAAACCTCAGAATCTCATACAGCCAGAGGATGTGGGTAAGGACATGGTTATCTAGAACCACGCTGCTAAGGATCAAACTAGGTCTAGGTAGGTATGGTGAAACACCCCTGTATTCCCAGTGCTTTGTAGGCAGAGGCAGGAGATTCCAAGTTCAAGGCTAATGTGGATTACACGGTGAGTTTGGAGTCAGCCTGGGTTACATAGTGAGATCCTTTCTCAAAAAAATCAAACGAACCAAACCAAACATAAAACTCACAGGTCTGACTACTGCAAATTGAGTGACCTCAGGCAAGTAACTTAATTCCTATATTCCTCAGTTTCCCCATCTGTAAATTGTCTTAGTGGAGTTGTTCAGATCATAACAGCATTTAGATCAGTGTCTGCCCCCACAGTGAATGCCTAATGAACATTGTATCTTAGAGTTATACAACTCCAGAATCTTCTATATGTGAAATGACAGAGAGCTGCCATGGTCTGGTCCTTCTGTGAGGAGGCTGAGGAATAAAATGTAAGCAAATTAGAGTTCCCGGGTTGCCAGGTTCTGGGCCTTCATGCTCTGCTTGGCTCAGTGGGTCAGAGAGACCCACCAGACAAAGACCCCCAGCCGCTGCACCCCAGCCATGCAGCAGATGGTCAGGCTCCCACTGTGGGAGGCAGGGATGCTCAGATGGGTGGGAGCATGTATCCCATAAGGGACTTAATGTGTGGACACTGTCCTACCCTTAACTGCCCCCAAAACCTATTATCTTCCCTAAGCAAGCTGGGTACAAGTCTATTTTTAAAAAGAGAATTGCAGGGTAATAAATATAAGGTGATCCAGTTTTAAGAGAAGGGAGTAAATCCTACATATATGCATGTATGTTTGCATGCTTCTAGGTGAAGTATGCAGACTGCCAGTACTGATAGCTTAGGAGGACAAGATAGGAGAGATTGGGAGGCTTAATATGTTATTATTGAATGTTTTACCATGAGTACTTACTACTGAATTTTAAAAACCAATGAAGTTTTAAAAAGAAAAAAAAATTTATTAAAAATTATTTAATGCTGGGCACCAGTGGCTCATGCCTGTTATCCTAGCTACTCAGAAAGAACACAGTTTGAGGTCAGTTCAGGAAAGTAGTTCAAGAAACTCTATCTCAAAAATATCCAACACAAAAACAAACATGACTGACAGATTGGCTCAAGTGATAGAGCACTTGCCTGCCTGGCAAGTGTGAGGCCCTGAATTCAAACCCCAGTACAGCCAAAAAAAAAAAAAGAAATGAAAACAAACCAGACCTGTGCAGACCTGTGTACTGGAACTTGGGATTATAGGCACTGTACCCAGACTAAAACTCTTCCCACTCACAGGAGGAAAGAGATTTGCAGAACTTAAACGAGAGCAATGGGTGGTGGTTAATCCACTTCTTGGGGCAATGGTGCTTCATAAAAATGAGATTTCAAAAACACATATGCTAAAACAAGAAAAACCAAGCATCGTGGGTTAGGAAAATAGCTCTTGAAATGCAGACATGGAATAGATTTAGGAAATTAGCTATGTAGTTAAAAAAAAAAAAAAGTCACAAAGGAGCCTACATAATGCTTAGCACCAGTTTTAAAACTGACTGAGCTATTAAGTGAGAGGTGGCCTGGCCTTATAAGCCTCTGGGACAAAATTCTTGCCCTCAGGGCCAGATGTCAAGGTAAAGAGGTCATAAAGACCATCTCCTCTCTGTTCCCGAACTTTGGATGAAGGACCTAAGAACCGCTATTTTACTTCTGAAACTGTATACCTGTTAGGGAACCAGGAAAAAAGGAAGAAAAACATGCCAGGGAATAAGAAAGAGGTGAAATGAACCCTCCAACCAGTTCATTTTCTTTCCCAAAGTGTCAAGGCCATAAGTTCTCAAGTTCCAGAATCAGAGATCTAGCCCTTAACTTTTCTAGGTATAACTGAAATATACGTCTATCTTTTCATGTGGAGGGCATCTGTGAAAGTTATAGCCAATTCTTTGTGTACAATACAACACAATTTGGGAAATATTTTTAAAAATTAACTGGAGCCCTCCCAACCAAGACAGTAATGATGTGTTCCCAACTATGAATTAACATGTTTTCAGCTATAATGTAGAAAAATGAATCTGTAAAGGTCTTAGGGATACCTTAGAGAAATTCTAGTCCAAACCTTCTACTTTACAAATCAGAAACATAAATCCAAAGAGTGAGAAATTATCTGCTAGCCCCAAGTCACACAATGTGGAAAAGCCAATGAATGGTCCTGGGTTTTCAGCCACCCAACACCTGTTTCTAGACTGAGCACCAAGTTCAGAGGATACAGGGAGTCCCACACCGCCCTTCATCCAGCTGGCTGCTCTGTGCTCTGTCTTTTGACCTGGTCCTCTGGGGTCCTATTCCAGTCCCTTCAGGCCCCAGCTCACGTGGTGAAAGGCCCATAGGTCAGGCCTTGATGGTCCCGGTGCTCCTTCCATAGCTCCATGCTGTCCCTCACAGGGTACTTGTCCTCCTGCCGCATCACTTGCTCCATGAATAGGGGACTGGCCAGGTTCACCAAAGTGTGAGGCCCAAGACTGGATATCCATATGGGGCCATACAAGTCCTTGTTCAGCATCTGTGGGGGAGGGGTCAACCAAAGCTAAATAACTGGGGCCCAGGTGGGCAGGCATTTCTGAGAGAGGAGATGGGGTAGGAGAAGGTCTGATGGCCACACCAGAGCAAGTGTGCTATGCAAAAGTACATTGTGCAAGAGGCAGAGCCTGGGATGGTCAGTAGTTCTGGAAACAGGATGCTGAAAACATGGCCACACAGGAGCAAGAATATTGAAAGCAGTGGGTGTCTGGAGTAACAGGAGGATCTGAGGTCACTGGAGGAATGAGGCGATGTGGGAAATTGGGGTGTGTGAGGTAGAGATATTTGGGCCCCTAGGTTTTAGGGAATTTGAGGTGAACTAGAAAGCCTGATTCCTTCTTAGCATTTGAATCTCCTGCAGCCTGTAGCTTCATTGAGATAAAAATAAATGTCTTGTGTAATCAGTAAGAAAAAAAAGCAATGTAGCTGGGTGCCAGTGGCTCACGTCTGTAATCCCAGCTACTTGGGAGGCAGAGGTCGGGAGGATTGAGGTTCGACACTGCCTAGGCAAAAAAAAGCAAGACCCTATCTCAAAAATACTCAACATAAAAAAGGACTGGTGGAAGGGCTCAAGGGGAAACATAAGGCCCTGAGTTCAAAGGCCAGTACTGCCAAAAAAAGAAAAAAGGAAAAGAAAAGAAAAAAGAAACATATAAGCAATTCCAAGAAAAGCAAGAAGCTGAAGTAAGTCATGTGGTATGTATTTTTGTAAACAAAGAGGTTATTGGCTATGTTATGTAATTCTCAAATATTTTGTTTTTAGACTAGGGACATAGCTCAATAGTAGAAGGCTTGCCTAGCATGCACAAGGTTCTGGGTTTGACCCTAATAGCTCCCCCAAAAAATTATCTTAGAATTTCTAAGATTCTTAATAATTAATACTCACAGAATCTGTGGAATTAACATTACTACCTTGTATTTATAGTCGCAAAAAATGAGAGAAAAGAAATATACTTTTGTGTTAACAGGTTTAATAAGACCTAAAAAAAAAATCCATAAATCTGAAAGAAAACTTACTGGCTAAGTTACACTCATGCACAAACAAAATGCAGCGGCTTGCTAGGCACCTTCTTTTTCAGAACAGTTACTGAAGAGATTTTAAGAGATCAGTGGCTGCTCCAGTACAGAAATTAGGCAAAGGGCTTCTGTAAAAGAGTGACTAAAGTTATAAAGAAGAGATCTGTTTGGGGTTCATCCCCAGCACAACAAAAATGAATAAAAAAAATCCATCATTCAGACTACAGAAGAAAAGGCCACTCAATTTACGATCCGGAAAAATGTCAATCTGACTGGATCTTACTATTGACTTCCAAACTGGATTCTTCTAAGACTACTGCCACAAAATTGCTCCTGATCACCCAGCCATCCAGAATCTACCCTGAAGTAGTAATGGCTAATCCTACCCATTCCAGGAAGATGGTCTCAACGACCCCACATCCCCTTCCCACCCCCCAGCCCATTTAGGCTTGTTTCTTAGTTCTGCCTCGCAGTCACAGCTGCCAGTAAGGTATGATTTTGAAGAGTTGATTGTAAACTCCAGTGAACATGCCTATTTCCCCTCAGGAAGGAAAGTACATCATACATTGCTGGTGCAATGTGACTCTAAAACAACACATTCCTGTCCAGAGGACAATTAATACTTATAAAAACCACAAACAGATTTATAAACAAAGTACAGGACATCCACACAATGGAATCCTGTAACAGCTGAACATGGAACAAAGAAGCTCCTTGTGTACTGATATAGAAAGATATCACAGACATTTTTTTTTTAATTTTGTTTTGTTTTTGTGGTAGTGAGTTTGATCTCAGGGCTTTGCACTGGTTAGACAGGTGTTCTACCTCTAGAGCCTCCAGACTCCAAAGACAGATTACTAAGTGAGAAAGCAAAAATAGCTTTTGTCTAAGAGATGGGGAGCTAAATAAGAATATGTGCCTTTCCAGAAAGAAATGTGAAGATAGATACATAAGAAACTAAAGTGATTATGCATCTGGGAACACAGCAGTGGGATGAAGACTACTTTACGTGTGTCATGTCTGATATATTACTATTCAAAAATTTAAATCTAACACGGAAAAAAAAACCTAATGTTTTCTAAAACAATAAGTCATCCACTATGGATCAGATGATTCCAGAAGGCAGGAAAACCTTGTTGAGTCTCAGAATTCACTCATACACTCCTCAAACTTACAAGTGGGTCCTAGCCATATTCATTTTCCTATAAATGAGTTTTGTTTATTTTTCTTAAAGTTTCCTTTTTTTTTTTGTTTGTAGGACTAGGGTTTTGAACTCAGGATCTTGTGCTTGCTAGGCAGGTGTTCTACCACCTGAGCCACACCACCAGCCCTTTTTACTTTCATTATTATTCAAATAGGGTCTCACATTTATGCCTAGACCAGGGTCCTCCTATTTGCACTACTTACTGTGTAGCTGGGATAACAGGTGCATGCCACCAGGCCCAGCTGTTTGTTGGTTGAGATGGGGGGGGTGGTCTCAATTTTTTCCCTTAGTTGGCCTCGAACCATGATCCTCCCAATCTCCACCTCCCCAGTAGCTAGAATTACTGGAATGAGCCACTGCACCTGGTCTTGAAGTTTCTATTTTTTAAAAATATTTTACAATCAAGTCTAGTTTTTTCTATTATATTCCTTAGGTCACTTAGCTTAAAGTAGGGTTAATTTGTATTTCCAGTTTTAAGATATTAATAACAAATCCTTTTCTGATTCACAAGTGTGGTGATTGGGTGCTCACACCAATGCATGGCAGGTGCCTCCCTCAAATCCTGTTATGACGTCAGCACATCACCCATCTGACATGAGAAAAAAGATATTAATAATAATTACACATATTTCTATCGACCTCACTATCAACCAGACACTGTTCCAAGAACTTTACTTACCTTAGCTCATTTAATCTTCACTACAGTTCTACCAGGCCGATTTCATATTACCACAATTTGTAAATAAGGCAACTGAGGCCCAAAGAAGCTGCTCAAAGTCACTTTACTGCTAAGTGGCAGAGGTAGAGTTCAAATTCAGACCACTTGGCTGGAGGCCACTCTCTCAACCACTCACTCCACTGGTCCCTGAGACAGCTGTGTCCACCTGCTGGAAGCCAACTTAGGCATTGAAAATGTGTGGTATTGTAACCCCTCACAATTGTACAACACCCCAGGGTCCTTCACAGTGGCACTCCTCACAGTTGGGCATACCACCCTGAACATGCCCGATCTCACTGGCCAGGCCTGGTTAGTACTTGCAAGGAACAATGAGGCTGGATATTTCTATATTCTATGTTCTTATGTTTAGCTATATCTGCAGACTCCATTTAGTAGCAGACTCCAAGTTGTGATGATCAAAAATGTCCCTAGACATTGCCAAATGTCCCCTGTGGGGCAAAATCCCTCCAGATTGAGACACACTGCAACAAACTCAACCTCTTTTACTTTTTCTTTTTGTAGTACTGAGGATTGAACCCAGTGCATGGTTAGGTAAGCAATTTGCTCCTGAGCTGCACCCCCAACTCTCAAACCTAACCTCTTAATATGTGCCTTAATTCCTTCATTTTTTAGTGATCTCTCTCTCTCTCTTTCTCTCTCTCTCTCTCAATACTGGAGTTTAAACTCAGGGCCTCATGCTTGATAGGCAGGGACGCTCACTTGAACTACTTTGCCATCCCTTTTTTGTGTTGAGTATTTTCAAGATAGGTTTTCACAAACCATTTGCCCAGTCTAACTGAACTGTGATTCTCCTGATACCTGCCTCCTGAGTAGCTAGGCTTGCAGGTGTGAGGCACCAGTGCCCAACTACTTTTATGGAACTCCTTTTTGGCAGTACCGGGGTTTGAAACCAGGGCCTTGCACTTGCTTGCGAGTCACGTGCTGTACTGATTGAGCCATACCTCTGGCAAGAAATAATACATCTTTTTGAAGGAAGATTTGTAAGTATGGTTTCTTTTCCTGTAAGTTCAAGTAAAATTACATAGAACAGTATTGTAAAAATGCGAAAAGAAGCCAGGCATGATGGTACACACCTGTAATACCAACACTCAGGACGCTGAGGCAGTAGGATGGTGAGTTCAAGACCAGCCTGGCCTTCCTAGCAAGACCCTATCTCAAAAATACTGTGAACAGTGGTGACTTGAGGAGTTTACAGACAAATTTACTTTCTTCTTTATACTATAATTTATTTTTCAAAATTTCTACCTTGATCTTGGAGTGAGAAAGAAATGTATTTTAGAAGACTACCTAAATGACCATTTCTTTGGGTACAATCTTCTTCCCTGGAATCCAAAGCCTTTGACACCATTTCCTGGCTATGTGTGGAGGTTTCTGGGGCATTTCTACCTTTGTCTAGGCCACATGTTCCTTCTTCCTTCATATTCCTCTCTGTTAGTTTGCTTGGTGGAACTTAACAAGGACCTATTTATGTAAGAAGTTATTTTAGAAAGATACCAGGGTACTTGCTGAGAGATGTGTGCCGTGCCTGGGAGCCTACCATTAGTAACCTGAGCCAGTTACACAGCCCCAAAGTTCGCAGATGCCAGCTAAGAGTCACTCTGCAGAACAGAGATCATTTTTCAGGATGAATGAGAGAACTAGCCCTCACCTGGTGAAACTCCAAAGATGAGAGTGCTGAATTCATTCAACATTATTAAGCTTCTAACCTGTTCCTCCCTTCCCATCCTGGGGGGTCGGGGTACAGCAGTAAGCCCAGAAGAGACCTATCCTAAGAGCGCTTGTATCCTGGTGCATCAGACCCATGATTGAGAAGTAAGTTACATACAATTAGAAATTATTTTCTAATTATTTTGTCTCTTCGACAAGATTGAAAATCCTCAGGAACCGTGTCGTACTTTTTCACTACATCCCATTTTGTTTGACACAATTCTAGCATTGTGCACATTGTAGATATTCAATAAATAGTTAGCAGTTGTCAAAGAACTAAGTGGAAAAAAACAAACTCCAGTTAAATATAAAGAAT